GCCCACCCCCCGCGCCCGCGCCCGCGCTCCCTGGCGTCCCAGCCCCGCCCAGCCGCGCGCCCCCACCACCCTGGCCGGGCCCGCCGCCCTCACAAGCCCTGAGATTCGCGCGCGGTGCCTAGAGCGCGTCGGGCTGCGGCGAGGAGGGCTGCGCACGGGCGGCAGGCGCGGGGCTGCAGGGCGCTTACTGTCCAGGTAGTGCTCCAAGTACATGGCGGTCGCCATCTTCGTCCGCGGTTGCGCTCGGGGTCTGCGCGGGCGGGCGCTGCCACGGGAGACGGGCGGGGACGCAGGCGTGCTCACTATTCATGAGCCGCGCGCGCTCATTGGCCTGCGGCCTAAGGGCGGGGCGGCGTTCGTCACGCCCTCAGGCTTCCGGCCGGCGACTCAGCAGCGTGGATCTGCTGTGGGACTGGCAGGACTGGGCAGGGCTGGGCTCCGGCGTGGCCGCGGGCAGCCGGAGGTAAAAAAGGAGCAGGCTCCGCCTGCCGGAACGCAGTCCCAGGGCACCCAGATGATCGTCTCTGGCCGCACCTGGCCGCGGCCTTGTGGTCACCGGGTCGTCCCTGCGCTAACACATGGCCTTGGCTGCCCGGCATTCACTGCACACGTGTTGGCAGCCCTGTCCGCACGGCTCGCCGCACCCCTGGTCCGAGCCGCCGCCCCTCCAGCTGTGAGCTGGGAGTCCCGCTGCAGTCTGCCGAACACCGCGCCTCTCCCTATCCCGATGGCTTCTTAACTAAGAGGGAGCCAGCGCCTCTCCCGACCCCAGTGGCGTCTTAACCGGGCTTTGGCCCTTGGTGACGCATCGACTGCCGGCGGCATCGCGGGCCTTCCTCAGAGAGGGACGCTGACTTCTCTTTGTTGTTGTCTTTGTCTCGAGGAGGGAACATCCACTCCGGGACGTTTCACGAGTGCCTGGCACGTGGGTGTACCAATATCAGAGTAAAATGATGCACAAAAGTACACTAAGATGCAGAGAAAAATACTAGGAAGCAGACAAATACAATACATGTATTCACCTGGTGGGATTAAGGGGGATTCTTTGTGGCAGGTGCGGTGGTTTACGGTGGTTTATGCCTGTAATCCCAGCACTCTGGGAGACTGAATCAAGAGGACTCTTGTCTCTAAAATTAAAAAAAAAAAGGTGACTCAGAGCCCATAATACAGTAGTTAGGAAGACAGCCACATACATTGAGCCTCGTGGGTTGGAACCCGGCCAGGGCCTGCTAAAATAACAATGACAACTGCAACAGAAAATAGCTGGATGCTGTGGAAGGCTGAGGCAAGAGAATCGCTTAAGCCCAAGAGTTGGAGGTTATTGTGAGCTTTGACGCCACAGTACCCTATCCTGAGGGCGACTTAGTGCAACTCTGTCTTAAAAAAAGTGATTTCTCGGCTCGGCGCCTGTGGCTCAAGTGGCTAGGGCACCAGCCACATACACCTGAAGTGGCGGGTTCGAATCCCCAGTCCGGGCCCGCCAAACAGCAATGATGACTGCAACCAAGAAATGGCCGGGCACTGTGGTGGACGCCTGTGGTCCCAGCTACTTGGGAGGCTGAGGCAAAAGACTCACTTGAGCCCAGGAGTTGGAGGTTGCTGTGAGCGTGATGCCATGGCACTCTACCCAGAGGGATAGCTTGAGGCTCCGTCTCAAAAAAAAAAAAAGTGATTTCTCTGAATGCAGTTGTAGCCATGCCCTCAGGTACCCACTCCCCTCTTCCCCAGCCACACCACTGGACACCGCCTAACCTCTGGCCAGAGTTTCATGCCCAGGTGGTTGAGCCACTTGCCAGCTTTGCCACTACTTGGAAATTCCTAGAAGATGCTGTGAAGGGTCTAAATGAAGAAGCAGCTGACCACTATGGGCACAAGTGTGAGTCCCGGAACCCAGATCGCTTTCTTGACTCCTGAGATTCAGAGTGCTTAGTTATACCAATAGCATAACCTGACCAGTGAAGCAGTACTTTCATTATTTATTTATCTGGAGACAGAGCCTCAAGCTGTCTCCCTAGGTAAAGTACTCTGGCATCACAGCTCGCAGCAACTTCCAACTCCTGGACTCAAGTGATTCTCCTGCCTCTGCCTCCTAAGTAGCTGAGACTACACGTGCTGGCCGCAATGCCTGGCTATTTTTTGGTTGCAGCTGGCATTGTTGCTTGGCAGACCTGGGCTAGATTCAAACCTGCCAGCTCAGGTGTATGTGGCTGGTACCTTAGCCACTTGAGACAGAATCTCACTCTTGTCCTGGGTAGAATGCTGTGCTGTCACAGCTCACAGCAACCTCAAACTCTTGGCTCAAGTAATTCTCTTGCCTCAGCCTCCCAAGTAGCTGGGACTACAGGCAATTGCCACAAAGCCTGGCTATTTTTAGACATAGAGTCTTGCTCTTGTTCAGGCTAGTCTCTGAACTCCTGAGCTCAAGCCATCCACCTGCCTCAGCCTCCCAGACTGCTAGGATTACAAGCATGAGCCACCTGCCCAGCTAAAATGCATTTTTTTTTTCTTTGCAGTTTTTAGCTGAGGTCAGATTTGAACCCACCACCTCCGGGATATGGGGCCAGCACCCTACTCCTTGGAACCACAGGCGACACCTAAAACGCTTTTTTTTTTTTTTTTCACACACAGACTAAAACTGTCATTCTCATTAGTGTACTGTAGCATCATAGCTCACAGCATCCTCAAACTCTTGGGCTGAGGTGATCCTCTTGCTTCAGTCTCTGGAGTAGCTGAGATTACTGGCAGTCTCTACATGCCCAGTTATTTTTAGAGATGGGGTCTTGCTCTTGCACAGCTTGGTCTCAAACTGAACTCAAGCAATCCAACTGCTTCAGCCTCTCCAAATGCTAGGATTTACAGGCATGAGCCACCACACCTAAAATGCATTTTTCTTTTTCTTTTTTTTT